GAGAGAGAGAGAGAGAGAGAGAGAGAGAGAGAGAGAGAGAGAGAGAGAGAGAGAGAGAGAGAGAACGACAGCGAAAACAAGATCGAGTGAACGGGGTAGATGGGAAAATATGGGAAGAGCAATCTGAGTAAATGTAACAACGCAGAAAATGTAGGATAGAGGGAGAGATAGAGGTAAACAGGATGGGCTAGAGAAACAAAAACAAAGGAGAGAAGGAGAGAAAAACAGAGAATGAGAGAGATTCAATGACGGGGAGAGCAAAAAAAAAGATAGCGGAGAAGAGAGTGGGAGAGCGAATGAGGAGAGGAGAGAGAGAGAGAGCAGTGAAAAAGCTGCAAACGGGAGTCCTGATTCAGAATTTAACTGATACGCCAGCATATCTTTTGATACACCACATACTATCTGAAGCACAAACGTTAAACGTGCCAGATTTCAGTGCTGTCAGTTCTGCCGCCCACAAACTAACAAGGTGATAGAACTAGATTCTGGCTTGTCTCTGATCACCTATCATTATTTTAACTTCTTAAGTGTATCGTGATGATGATGGGTGTTAGAGCTTAGAGGTTGTCATAACAATCCTAAATCTGTTGGTTTTGACTTTAACATAGTATCTTCCAACTAGCGATTTTCGACAGTATTCACCTTTCCTCATGTTCGTACTTCACTTGTTTGTCAGGTCTACTGACTGTTGCACGACTTGTTGTACGTGCAATACTCGTTATTACATGTGTGTGTGTGCGTGTGTGTGCGTGTGTGTGCGTGCGTGTGTTTGTGCATGTGTGTTAAAAATAGACAGTGTGTAATGTTTGCTGCACTACGGGAAGCAAAGCAACTTATGATCAACCTGCTTTTCCCCTTTGACAGGCATCATCCAATTGTAAAAATAATGATGTATAAAAAAGCCCCTTCTTCAGACACATTAAAGGGACTTTTGCTTTTAGTAAATATAAATATATAGACGGACGCCACGGGCCCACTGTAATAATCATAACATATATCAAATATATCAATATATTGATTCGAATCTATATTTACAATATTTCATAGTCCGACTCACGAACAGAAAAGACTCACTTAACGTGTTCAAAGGTAATGTCTCATGATTTCAAGAAGCAAACAGATTTTATTTGTGATGCTTTGTCCAGAAAAGCTAGGTCACTGAAATAAACCAAATGATAAAAAATAGGCCAAATATATCTGGAGTATATATTGTTGATTAGATGATGTCTGTTCATTTTTGGAAAACATAGAAATCAATCATTAAACTGACAAAAATATGTATATTCAAGATGGCCGATAATTTCAGTCATTGGAATGCTTTGGTTGATCATAAGTGAAGAGTGCTCATCGTAATACCGCCATCTTACACCAGTTGTGTAATTACTCGCACTATTTTGCATACTCGCACATGCATTTATTTCACACGTTGGAGTCTCAATGTTTTTGATGTGACGTCGAATACGTTCTGCTTGCTTGTCGGTAGACGTAGGATGTTACATGATAAACAATTTGCAGCCGCGGTGATGTTTGCAGCATCTAGGCTTCACAGCTCCAGAGGTTCGGTATCGGACACACCCACAGCAGGAACACGTACTAGGCGCAGGTCTCAGTCCAATCGCCACATCTGATTCGTGCTTTGCTTGCTCGTGCACAGTTTCTCGGTGCTGCATCTTAGTTCTGCGCGTTGTCACGGCGACTGGTAACCGGCACTGTGCTTCGCTGTCACCGAAGCTTTGTCTGGTGTTGGCTTCAGCATTTTTTTCCAGCATCACGAGCCGCCACGAAACAATCCCAGGGGGGCCATTTGGGACGTTACATCCGGCTTGTTAGCTTTGTCCGGCCAACAGCATGATGGATCTTGCATTTTCTGGCAAATGGGCCGCCCTTATGCGCTTCTGCAATAGTTTTATATGAACAGTGTCTCGCATGCTGGTATGGTTTTCACAGTGTCCCGGTCGGCTGTTCGTGTGTCTGATGTCACACCTGTACCTGTGACGTCATGTGCACCACTGTGGAACCCTCTCTGTCTTATCGCTCCAAATGTGTTCCGAGTACACTGCAGGAATCAAACAACAATTGCAGATCAGAGAGAGCCTTGGATCGTACCTGAATATTGTAAGCCGAGACATGGCTATCAATTTCGCAAACAGCTAACTGCTGAGGAAAAGATGGAGCGTCTGGAAAAATTATGCCAACTGGAAGCCACAGAATATGTGGTCATTATGTTTAAGTCAAAACCCGGGCCAGGTATAAACGTTTACGCAAGTGTAGAAGTGTTGTGTAAATTAATGGTATCTAGTTGGGGGTACAATTGCTGTTAGATTATTCTACTAACATTGTCTCATTAACTAACTTCTTCTACTAACCTCCGTGTAGGAGAGCCGCAGAGAGACGTGAAGATGGCAACAGCGCCCGATTCGGTCACGACCACCGCGTCTCGACCGAAAGCCGGACCGAGTGTTTGTGATCCAAGGTCGCCACGAATAGCCGCTCGGCCTGTGGTAACAAAACCCCCAAAAACGCTTCCTAGCATAGATAAGTCGTCGGAGAAAGTTGTAACCCCGGAAATGCGCTTAGCGTCAACCGAAGTTTCGCCGGCGTCACCACGGGACGTGAAGCGGGATTCCAAAATGGAGAAAGCTCGTCCGTCCAGTGGCGAAAAGCAGACGCCGCCCGTTGTCATGGCGACAGAACCTGTGATAACGTCTCCCGCACGTCGCGACGACAGGGCATCGCCGGAACCGGTATCGGAATCAAAACAGGAACCAGAATTGAAGCCACAACTGGAATCGGAACCGGAACCTGCGCGTGGCGACGACGAAAAGCGGAAGGATGCGGCCACGGGGGAGAAACACGTGCGGTTTCCGGACGAGCGCGGCGAGCTGGAGACGAAGCGCGAGATCACGTCCGAGGGTGAGGTCGTCGAGAGGGTCGTCGTCACGGAGGAGATCATCGCCAAGATGGACGTACGGGAGATGAAGGACTCCGACAAGGAGTCTCAGCTGCTCGATAGCGAACACAAAGAAAAAGCTGTGATAGTAGATCAGGAAAAAGAAGTAGTTACAGTAGGCGTAGATAAAGTGCCGGCGGGTCCGACAGTAAAGACTGTTGAGAAAATTCAAGTGAGAATTGTACATAAAATAGTCCAGAAGGAAGTGATTGTAGGAAAAGAAACGACTGTGATATTGCCTTCATCTATTGTAGAAGGCCAGCAACCTGACAGCTCTGAGGAGCAAGAATTTGTTAAAAAGGAAAGAGCATTCCCTGATACGCTCATAGAATCAGCACCTCCAAAGATGGAAGGTGATGCCTATGTTGAGACCAAGAGGTCGGTATCCCCAGAAAGTGACATTGAGCCACCCCTCGGGGTGAAACGATTAGAATCTACTGACACGGGGAGTGAGTCAGCTGTTAAAACAGAACAACTGCGATCTCCTGAAAAGGAAATTGAGTCGCCTGTTGAGGCAAAACTTCTAGAATCTCTAGAGAAGGAGCGTGAGTTATCTGTTAAGAAAGAGCGTGCACAATCCCTTGAAAAAGACATTGAGTCGCCTGTTGAGGCAAAAACCATGGATACCTCAGAAAAGGAACTTGAATCTCTAATTAAGACAAAACAGTTAGAATCCCCAGAAAACGAAATTGTGTCGGCTCTTGCAAAGAAACTTCTAGATTCCCCCGAAAAGGAGCGTGAAATTGAGTCTCCAGAAAAGGAGATAGAGTCGCCTATTGAGGTCAAACACACAGTCTCACCAGAAACAGAACCTGAGTCTCCTATTGATCCCAAACAGCCTATTTCCCCAGTGAAAGAACCAGAGTTAGGCCTACTTACTGAGACAAAACAGTCAGAACCTTTAGAAACACCAATCGAGACTAAACTGCCCGAGCCTTCAAAGAGGTTGCATGATTTACCAGTTGAAACGATTCAAGATGTGACCATTGCGAAGGACGCTGTGCCAGAATTGCATGCGGTGAAGGAACCGAGTGAATCAGAGGACGACGTCGAAGATAGTCCAGTTACTGTTAAAGATAAGGTGAGGATGTTTGAGAAAATGATGTCTCATGACGAAGAGGAAAATGATGATGAAGAAGTGCCTATGTCTGAAGAACAACTTCAACTCACTGCTGATGAGTATTTAGCCTATAAGCCAGTTGAAATTATAACAAAAGAGCAGGCATATGCAAAGGAACAAGAAAGAATACGACTGCAGGACGAGATAGCAATAAACGAAACAACACGTGAGCATTCCAAAGCACCCGACGCAATTAAGGACGAGGTAGCTGAATCACTAGGAGAAATGGAACGTGAGCCATTTGATCATAGTGACATTTCTGAGCCTAAAAAAGAACCAGAAGAAAGGGAGATATACGGAGCAAAGCGTGTATATGTTCAAGAAATACATGTTAAAAAGGATATATGCGAGCACGAAGAATATGTTCAAAAGGTGGTTGAAGAAGAATCCTATGTGACTGTTGTCTATAAGCGGCATGACAAGCACCCTGACAAGGAGGAAGATAAACTAGAGGCAGATGTTTCAGCCTCCTTTGAAACAAAGCATCTAACTGCCGAAGATAAATATGAAGTTTTTCCAAAGCCAGAAGAAGAGATGCCAGTAGCTGATGTGATGGTTGAATCTCCCGAGAAAGAGTCCCAGATACTTGTAGTAGACACTGGGGCAGAAACCTCTAAAAGAGAAGCTAAACCATCAGTTGCAGAGGAGGACAAATTAGGAGAGAAACAGGAGGGTAAACTGTTGCTTGCGACACATTTAGGAATCGACACGCCTGTTACACCAGCATTGGAAAATATATCACATGTACCAGAGAAAGATGTTGTACTGCCTGTAACAGAGGAAATACCTGAATCACCAGAGAAGGAGGTTAAACTGCCTGTAACAGAGGAAAGACCTGAATCACCAGAGAAGGAGGTTAAACTGCCTGTAACAGAGGAAAGACCTGAATCACCAGAGGAGGTTGAACTGCCTGTACCACGGGAAATACCTGAATCTCCAGAGAAGGAGGTTGAACTGTCTGAAGCAGAGGAAAGAATTGAATCACTTGAGAAGGATGTTCAACTTCCTGTAACAGGGGAAATACCTGAATCTGCAGAGAAGGAGATTGAACTGCCTGTAACAGAGGAAAGAACTGAATCACCAGAGAAGGAGGTTGAACTCCCTGTAACAGAGGAAATATCTGAATCACCAGTGAAAGAGGTTGAACTGCCTGTAACAGAAGAAATACCTGAATCACCAGAGAAGGTTGTTGAACTGCCTGTAACAAAGGAAATACCTGAATCTGTAGAGAAGGAGGTTGAACTGCCTGTAACAGAGGAAAGTGGTGGAATCTTCTGAGAAGGGGGTTGTAGTACCTGAAGAGGGACGAAGGGCAGAATCTCCTGAAATGGCGGCTGTGGTAGCTGAAGAGGAAGAGAGGATAGAAAGGCCTGAGAAAGATGTTGTAATACCGGAAGTCGCAGGTAGTATGGAATCTCCTCCAAAACAGGTTCCTGAAGAGAAACAAAGAGCAAAATCTCCCCAGATGGAGGCTGTGGTAGCTGAAGAGGAAGAGAGGATAGAAAGGCCTGAGAAAGATGTTGTAATACCGGAAGTCGCAGGGAGTATGGAATCTCCTCCAAAACAGGTTCCTGAAGAGAAACGAAGGGCAGAATCTCCTGAAATGGCGGCTGTGGTAGCTGAAGAGGAAGAGAGGATAGAAAGGCCTGAGAAAGATGTTGTAATACCGGAAGAGGAAGAGAGAGCAGAGTCTCCTGATAAGGGTGCTGTAGTTGCTGAAGAGGAGGAGAGAGCAAAATCGCCTCAGCAGGATAATGTAGTACTTGAAGAGGAAGAGAGGGTCGAATCTCCTACGAAGGAGGCTGCAGTAGCGGAAGAGAAACACAGAGAAAAATCTCCTGATGAGGCTGTGGTAGAACTAGGAAAAGGAATAGCAGAGTCTCCTGATCAGGCAGCTGCTGTGCCTGTGGATGATACGGCGTTGTCACCCATAGCAGACGATGTGGCAAAATCTTTTGAGGCGACCTCTTTACCCACTGTACATGATTCAACGAAAATTCGAGCTGAGAAGCCTGACAGATGTTTTTATGTCGAGGAACTTAAAACAGAATTCCGGGAGGAAAAGGTGTCCGTTAAATTTGAGTACTACACTGATGCTGAATCACCAATCAAAGCAGCCGATGGAACGAATCTTGCTGATAGTTTGCCATTAGATATAATTTCGTCAGAACATGTACCAACAGAATCATTACAAACAACCATAAATGAGTCGCATGAGCAAGAAGTGGTAAAGGATAGTAGTGAAGCTAAGGAGTTAGCACACGAGGAACCTGAAATTGGCAATGATCTGTGGTTAAAATCTGTTGAGGGTCAGTTACTTGACAAAGGAGATAAAGAACCTGAAATTGAACCAACACTGAAATTATATACTATATCAGGCGATAATTAATAATTAACAGTTACGAGACAATAATCATTTC